CTGCTGGGTTTGGGCTCGCGATGTGGCTGAAGGCTTCTTGGCAGCTGTTTCTGGATTGAGTACCCAGCAAGGTAGATCGAAGACTATATGTTCCCTGAAACTGTCTGGAATTTTAATATGTTTGATGGTGTTGAGTTTAGGTCCTGCGAAGTTTAATGTTTCGGGATTAGGGCTTGACTCAAATAACAGCGCAAGGCAAGTGCTATTTGTCGACATCACTTACCATGGCAGGTAATCTGTGTATACGTGAAGCCTCAAGAATTTAGCAACTACTACCGTCGGAGGAATCATCAAAAGAGGAAGCTTCAATGCCTTTCGAGGCAAGAGGTGTGTATCCCGAGCTCCCCTTTACCGTCTCTGGATACTGAGTATTCCGAAAATACTTAGGGCCTATTCCGGCCAGCGATCATCAACCCTAAACCCTAAACCCTAAACCCTATTAGTACGAGCTCGTTGGGAGACAGAGGCTTGCCCGACAGCCTTGCAAAGGGTGTTTGCGGTGAGTTTCGTGGTGTGCAAGATAGATGGGTGAAGGCTGGGTCCTGACCATCCTAAACTGAAATGGGAGGTTCCGAAAACAGGGGACCCTAAAATAGTACCCTAGATAGTAGGATCCTTATTAAGAGGACTGTTTGATGAAAATCGCGACAGTGGCCCTGGGTGAAAGCAAATCGGACACGATTCCTGGGGTACCTTCTTTGTAGTTGTAGTACGCAAGTTTTGCCGCAAAACCCTATTCCACAAAGTAAGACCCCTACACTAGGCATGGCCCATGTTGCCAAGGTATCGCTGCGGAAGATCTTCAGCAAGCATGACTCCTGCCAGATATTGATTGAATCCATGTTCGTTCATGCGTGTGCTGAAACAGCGGATTTGGGGTTTAGGGTTCAAGCTTGCCTGGACCCCAAAAGTATGTAGAATAATACTGTAGGGGAATTGGGCCATCATGTTACCTACTTTGGGGGGTTTAGGTAGGGTTCAAGCTTACGGGTTTTGGGTTGACTGCAGTGGAGAATACGCAGCAACAGACTTCAGAGTAGAGTGGTACAGAGCAAGCATGATCTTTCAAGCACGTCCCACGAGAGTGTCGTCGCGAGAAGGCAGAGACAGAGCTGAGGTTGCTGGTGATCCTAGGTGTAGGGTTGAGGAGTTTTGGGTTTGCGGGGTTTGCTCGCGGTTTCGCATGGTTTTGGGGACGTAAGCTTGGGGGTTTGGCGGGTGTCGGGCTCAGGGTGTGGGGGTTTCTGGAGTCTCTTTAAAGGACATCACCCCATTTTAATTATCAAGGCCCCTTGACTAGTGGGCTTCGGGCTTTTGGAGTCTCTGCGAAAGACGCCCCGAGTCGATCTTTCCAAGGACACCGACCGGAGTGGCACCCTCACAGCGCGCCTTGATTACTACATGAAGGTTCACGGGTAGTTATAAGGGTTCCTTTAAAGGGTCCCCTTAAAGGGACCTATTAGGGATTTAGGGTAGTTCTAAGTGGGGTTATATGTCCCTTAGTATCGGTTATAATTATGGTTGCCCTACTTATAACCCCGCTTATAACTACCCATGAACCTCGAAGCATAGAAGTATAGCAGGCTGCGTTTTGGGTTTAAGGATGATTGCCAGTGCAATGTTTGTTTTTTGGGGGAGGGGGGCATATGAGATCAATTATATATATATATATATATATATTTATATATATATACATATATGTATATATATATATATATGTGTCAATTTCTCCTTGGAGCTCTTGATCACAACTCTAATGATACATATATATATATATATATATATATATATATATATATATGTATGTCTCTCTCTCTCTCTCTCTCTCTCGCTCTCTCTCTTCTCAAACCCCCTCTTGAAAAATATTAAGGCATCTGTCGAGACTGTCGGGTTTATGGATTACACTTGTGCGGCTGAGGGTTTAGTATGGTTTAGCACCGGGCTTCTACTGTCTACCTGCTTGGAGGGTCAGGGGACGTAGTATAAGTAGGTTACAATACGGCTGCTGTAGAGCAACCCTTTTGGTGAAACTCTCATGCCCGCAAAAGCTTAGAGGCTTATGCTAAGCTAACCCGATGATAGCTGGCGACCATATGAATCGCAAAGCTGCAGAGTGAATCCAGGGAGTGTGGTGAAGTGTAGCCGAACCCTGAACCCTACAGCCCCAAAACCCTTACACAAGCCCTAAGCGCTTGGCATTTCGGAGGAAAAGGGCCCGCAAAAAAGATTACTTTGTAATCCCTACAACCTTCAACTATAAAGCCGTAGACATTAAACGTTTGTGCAGCCGTGGAGGGAAGTGGTCGAGTACCTCAGGGTTCCGGTTTCAGGGACGGGGCCCATCGAACGGTTGGGTCTGAAGAATTCTTAGCGCATTATAGTAGCATATCCCCGCACCCTGTTCTTAGGGCCCGTGTATTAACCCACATTAACCTACCATAGTAGAAGCCAGAAAGTTGGAACATGGCTTCAGGAGGATTAGTGCTAGGATCCCTTATACTTTACCTCAAGGGCACGAGGATAATCATGTTCCAACTTTCTGGCTTCTACTATAACTCCTAACCAAGGACCGAACTCAAGAAGATGATCAGGAAGGAGTCGCGAAGGGGCACGGCATGAACAGATCAAACATGTCCACGTACCACAGTTCAATCACCCGGAACTCTGGAACCCTAACCCAAATCCCTAAATGCCGATAACCGAGTAGGTTTAAGGCGATCTTCCTACGTAGCACATGCCCAGAACATGTACATGAAGCCAGTCTGCCCGAAATAGCAAGCCTGCTCGGCAACGTGTCAGCCGGAAGCCACACCTATACATCCTGCAACATACCCACCCTGAAGGCCGAACCCACGCTCTAAGTCTAGACACCCTAAACCCTGAAAGCCCGAAGCCCTACTTATAGTCTCCATTGTAGTTCCTTTTTGGGGTTACCTTTTAGGATCCTTAATTAATCTAAAATTGGTTAAACCAATAAAAGGAACTACAATGGAGACTATAGGTAGACCTCAACCCGATCTGAAGCAGACTTCGAGTGTCGAAGCTCTCCAGCTGCTTTTTTGATGTTTGATAGAGGTCTACCTGGACCCCAAAAGTGTGTAGAATAATAGCCTTTTATGGGTATTGGGCCATTATTTTACCTACTTTGGGGGGTTTAGATAGGGGTCTACAAACAAAACTGGGGGTCCCTAAACCCTAGGAGTAGGAATTTCCTCAAATAGCCCCTAGACCCTACCCCCTAAGCCCGCCTGCGATGAGTAAACCCCCTGATTCGACGGTTTAGGGGTAGCGGTAGAGGCTGCAGCCATATGGGAGTTTCCGAAATTAGGAATTAGGGTACCTTATTGTGGGGTCCTGTGATAAGGATCCTACTATTCAGGAGGATTCTACTATTCAAAGTACTAGATTAGGGTCCCCTCTTGTCGGAAACCCCATATCCAGCCTCCACTGTGAAGCAGAGGAGCTGCGTATCACAACTGCGTTGGTTAGCGACCGCGATGTGGAGGACTGAGTGGCTTACTCGGGTCCATACAGATTCTATACAGTAAAGGTTTGTTGGGGTCTATCAGGGTTGAGTTTCAAAGCAGGCCCTGCACCCTCAAGCGCCGAGCCCTCACAGAACCCCTTTGTAAACAGAACAATCCTTAGAAACTTAAGCCCTGCGAATACATCTCTACGAGAAAACCTTCAGTTCCTGAAACCCTAAACCCTAAACCTAAACCCTAAACCCTAAACCCTTGCCAAAAGAAGCTGACCTAAGCAACATCGTGCTTTTGAGGCTTGGGGCGCTTCGGGCCCTTGGTTGGGCGCTTATGGCAAACCCAGTACCCCAGTGGCAGCACGGCTCCGAAAGCCTAAAAAAAGCCCTGAACCCTGAGCCTTAAAGCCCTAAACCCTGAACCTAAAGCATCCTAAAGCCCTCAAACGTAAGGCTGCGCAAACGCTGAACCCGCCCCGATCCTCCAAACCCGAGCCCCTTTCCCAGAGAGGTTTGGGCTGTCGCGCTCTGGATTTCAGGATTGGGATACGTAGCTCTATCCCGTAGACCCTAAAAAGCCTCAACCCTCACTCTCCCTAAGTAAACCTGAAATCATGAAGCCCTATGCACTAAACCCACCACCCTAATGGAATCTTGTAATCCTTACTCTAGATCCCTGAAAGGAACCCTTATCATGGATGGCTGGGCCGGGTTTGCTAGCTAGCTCATGCTTCCGGAGCCGAAAACTCCCTTGCCGGGCAAAGTTGTTTTTCCTGCAGCCACGTGCTCGTGCCAGCATCTCCGAGTGAGTAGCAAGAACGTCATCATGCAACGCCTGGTTGTCTCGAAATATGGCATTATGGCGCCCGTGGCTTCCACGTGTTGCTTTGCCCGACTACAAGACGACTGAAGCACAGTAACCACCCCACATTCGCGGGGCGACGCGACGACCAACACATGGTATCCACCATCATACACACGCTGCACTGCACGACGACTGACGCACAGTAGTCACCCTCATATTCGCATGACGACGCGACGACCAACACACAGTATCCATCGGTATCCACCATCATATTCGCACAAGTGCACATCAATTGAGATGTTTCGAGTTGGGTGCTGTGCTGCCGGATTGGCGACTCAGCGAGAGTGCTTATCGAAACATGTTGGCTTTTGAGTCCCAGCACTTTGCAGCATCAATGTGCCCTCCATACCTCGCAGCCGTGGCTGCAAGAGCCATGTCGCTTTCAGTGCAGGGCACTGCTACCTTGCAGAACGGCAAGGTTTCTTTGGTTTTTCAACCTGATGCGCAGGACCTTCACCTTGACACAAATGTTACGGCTTGGGGGTCAGACGATGCTCAGTTTGACAAGGCTTGACGTTCGTGCGGCCATGATGCAAAAGATTGCTGACGGCCTGATGCCGCTGATGCCCGTGCACCCGAGTCGTTCGCCACTAACTTCGAACCTTCCTCGTCCATATTTGCCACGCCCAAGAAAAGCAACAGTTTGCCAAGAATGGCATGCACGGCCAGTGGAACCTCCATGACGAAGCCGCCTTGGCGGCGGCACTGTTGAAGCCGAAACGCAAGCCAATGTCGTCAGAACCTCTAGCCCTGTGGAATGGCACCACCTCGTCTTCTTTAGCACCCGCGCCGCGGGCGACGCACACAGAGTCGTCTCCCCAAGATACCAAGCCCAATGACGCAAAGGCTGATGCATCATCATCTTCGTCAGCTTCTACGCCGCCCAACAAAGATCTGGACAAAATGGACTGCAGGGTCGTCGGTGGCAACCAGGAGACTGTCATGATGGACGAAGCCGTCGTCGAAGTGAAGACCAAGCCTAATGACCCAAGGGCTGATGCATCATCATCTTCGGTTTTTCCACATCGTCCAACGAGGATGAGCAGGAGGAGACCGAAGATGAGCAGGAGGAGACCGCGGCTGAGCAGCAGGAGCAGGACATGCCCCAAGATGAGCAGCAGGAGCAGGTCATGCCCGAATATGCCCCGTGGACGGATGACTGTCACGATATTTTCACTCATCTACGACAGCTCCGAGCTTAATGCCTGGCGGCGTAGGATCATGGATACGCTTTTGGCTGACCGTCGCAAAGCAAAGGGTCACTTTGATGCAGCCGTGTAAGCATGGGCGCGCAGGATTCCACTCGCAGACAAATGTGGGAGCTTTGCATTGCACAGTTTGAATCGCAATGTTTGGCTTCTATGCGCACGGCGCTGTTTCGAAAAGGCCCTCGGTTTCGGACCAAGCGTGACTGTACAAGTGTGGTGTCACACATGTTTCTTGTCAGAACCATTGCAAATCACATCTTATGCAGCTTGATTCTCTGAGACCGTCGCAGTGGAGTAGTGAGCCAAGCATCATCAACTCCGGAGGTTTGCTTCTGGGACGTGTGATATGAGTTTGCATCTTGTTGTGCGGCATGTTATGGTGAAAATGCTGAAATGTAGGCAGAGGGAGATCGCCACAAGCCGTCTTTTTGTCAATCTCCGATTCGGATTCGCAAGTTGAATCTGATGGCATCATTGCCCAACATCTTGCAAGCTTGGGAACGCCATGCAACGGAGAAGCAAAAAAGAAACCTTATTGTTCTTAAAGCGTCGATACCATACAAACTTTGATAGAAGCCTTTAAAGGGACCTATACAGGAACCCTATTCTACAATTTTCAAGGCCCCTACACTAAGCCCTCACAGACCCAAGCTTCGCCAGGATTTGGCGGCGGCGCTGGACGGAGATCACACAGGCGATCTCGACAAACCACTGTGAAACCATGTAAACACCGATTGTATTTTCGTGGCTCCTATGGTGGAACCCTAACATCAACATCAAGGAGCTCCAAAGCCCTAATTAGTTGAGGACAAGACCCTGGGTCTGATGCATGAATCCAGTAATTAATTAAGGGTGTGCTGTTTGCATGTGCCCACAATCCCTCCAAAAACACACACATTAAACCACGAAGCCGCCCCTTCAAAGCCTTGCAACAACCCATAAAAAGCTGTCGTTAAGGAGTTGTGGAGTCCCTGTGTTCTGCCTACTTCCAACCCTAAACCCAGCCCTAAACCCCCAAAATCTCAGGCAACATCAGCATTGAGGAGCTCCTCTCTTTCATCGAACGCGGCAGTGCGACCTTCTTCCGTGACACATCGTCCACCAAGGCTGAATGTAGGGTTTGTATAAAGTTGTTGCAAAGCTTGCTCAGCATTTTCAGGGGCTTGTAGAGGTTAGTGTAGGTTTCTTGGGTTGTCGGCAAGTTGTAATTCAAGGGTTTTATAGGAGATTGTTGTTTAGGCATGTTTAGGCTTCATAGGATTTTACCCCGGAACTGAGCCAGAAGACGTGGAGGTATTCAGGGTTTAGCAGAGGATCGCTTTGCGGTCGGGGTAGGTCATGGAGTTTGGCGCGGGTTTCACGGTTTAGCGTTCAGGGCCTTCCACCTGGTATCTACCGGGTTCTGCATCTGGGTGTCTAACTAGGGTTGCCGTAGAAGCTTGAAACTTACCCCAGGTAGCTTGCCTTTGCAGCACTATTATTTACACGATTCTGCATTGAAGCCCGTAAAGTGGAACGTGGCTTCAAGGCGACTAGTGCTAGGATTCCCTACATGAATACATACATCTATTTATTTGAAGGTGAAAAAAGAGAGAGAATGTGTGTGTGTGTGTATATATATATATGTATACACATATGCACACGGGGATAATGATGTTCCAACTGTTCGTCTTCTATCACGAGCACGAAACCCGAATTCCTAAATTCTGAAACACTTCGAGTTCGGGGATGTAGGGTGAAGGGTTTAGGATTTCGGCTTGAGGGTCTCAGGGTTTTTTGAGACTCAGCGGTTGAACCCCCAATCATTCGCAGACCGTGTGTGATATGCTCGAAGGCATTAGATTGGATCCCCAAGTCGTAGGCACATCCTAAACCGTCAGCATGATGCCCTGAGACTGTAGGCTATATAGGTTGTATTTTCATCCTAAACCCCTACCTGCAGCCGGAAAGACCTACCTTTTTAGGGTTCCTTATTACGGTTTCTATATATAGTTCCTAAAAAGGTACTACAGGTAAGCCCTGCTATATCTTAATCCCCCAAAGTAGATAAAATAATGGCCCAATTCCCTTAAAAGGCTATTATTCTACATACTTTTGGGGTCCAGGTATAGGCTGTATTTTCACCCCGAAACCCTAAGCCCTGAACCTTATATGTCCTGTCAGGAGACATCGCAGATGGAGGACAGCAGTGTGCGCGACCAGGATCCCCCTTTTGGGTGCAGGGGGGCGTTGGGGCTACGGGCTTAATCAAACTAAATTAAACGTTTAAATGGGAGTTTCCGAAAATCAGAGGTACCTTATTTAGGGGGCCCTTATAATAAGATTCTTACTATTTAGGGTACCATATTAGGGTCCCCCATTTTGGGAAACTCCCAAATGACTGGGGCTCGGGTGATCTGTGCATCACTCTGAAGCCTGAATTAAGAAAAACGTTCGAATCCCTAAATGTCCTAAACCCTGATCCTTTAAGTAAACCCTTATTATAGTACCCCTATAGATCCCTTAAAGGGACCCTAAACCCCCTGCGTTGTAGGGATACGCGAGCTGGAATCCGAGTGCTTGGGTTCGGATCTATTGAACTGGATTCTGGAGCTTCGAAGTGGGGGGATCCCAGCCTGCCAGACTGATTGGTGCAGGATGGCGGAGAAGACAAAGTATGCGAAATCGCAACCCTGTACCATCAACTTATAAGTTTTATATTTCTTATAAAAAAGTTATATATTTCTTATAAAAAAAGTTATATATTTCTTATAAAAAAGTTATATATTTCTTATAAACTTTGTATTTGAATCCCAATTCATCTCGAGCCCCCAGCCGCGCACCCCAAGCCGTAAGTGGCAAGCGCTGCACGTGCGTGCTGCAGATGCCCTCAGCTCCCATATCCATATGCGTTTAAATTTCGAATGCCAGTAGAAACAGCACTACTCCTTACACCCTATAGGCACCTTGTTACTGTCAACGGGACCTGAGTGAGTCGGACATAAGCAGAGGTATAGTGTGTCATAGTTAGGATACCCCCCCAGCATACTTAATCTTCCCAACAGCCAAGTCCCATGACCCTTCAAGTAAATCTAAGCCCCAGAGCCCAAACCCGAAATCTTAAATCCTAGTCGCTAAACCCCTAAACTCTCAAACTTCCTAGACCTGAAACCCCTCAAGTCTAGACCCGCACCATTTGATGGCTTTCGGCAATCCAGGAAGTTCCGAAATCTCGGGACAGCACCCACAGCGATGACGACGACGACACCGACGCATCTGAGAAGAAGGCGCTGATGCCACATGGAAAGCGCTTGAGAATTTTGGGTTCATAGGGTTTGAGCTTTCAGGGTTTAGGGTTGAGCACCTGGGATTCAGGGATTGAGGAATGAGGGTGGATAGGATTCAGGGGTGGCGCGTGATAGATCCGGCTTCGGACTTATGGTTTGGCATGTAAGGGTCAAGTAGGGCCGAAGGGAGGTAGCTGCAGCGTGTTGAAACCTAGGCGCCACTTGCTGTTTTTCCTGTGGCTTTTACCAGGTGGTTGAACAGCTTCTGGCCTTAGCTGTTGGAAGTCGTTCAGGGCACTTTCCTTAGTCATGTTGGCCTCTGCTTCTTTCTCAAAAGGATCGTCTCCCAAAGCTGCTTTCTGCTTTTCCCACAATAGAAATGGTTGGGGCAGCTGGCTTTACGGCTTTCTGGTGGAGCGTGCTGGGGTTGTCGGGGTTTACTCATTTTGGACTTCACGGTGTTCGGGTGCAGGATCTAGTATCAACGCATTCACGATCCAGAGTTAAGCAAATGCCGGCTGGCAGACCTTCATGATATACACTACCTGGACCCCAGAAGTATGTAGAATAATAGCCTTTTATGGATATTGGGCCATTATTTTACCTACTTTGGGGGGTTCCGGCAAACATGTGGGTGAACTCCTCAACCCCGAAGTCCCTCACAAAGATCCCATGGCAAGCCAGAAAAAACAGCACACGATAGAGGCCCATGCTGGTTCCAGTCAAGATTCGGGGACCCTGGTTGTTATACCTGCCATAGTTTTAGGATCCTGGGTCCTCAGTGCACAGAATATATGTGTTTACATTTGTATATATATATATACACACACAGTCACACACACACTTACTGTTTGATTGTATGCGTATATATAGATATGTATATATATATATATATATGTATACATGTATATGCACATATATAGAGAGAGGAGAGAGAGAGAGAGAGAGAGAGAGAGAGAGAGAGAGAGCGAGAGAGAGAGAGAGAGAGAGTACATGTATAACACCAATCATCCCCCAAAGTCCTCTCTTCCAAGTATGGCGCAGCACCTGGGAGGCACCTGCTGCCGCTCCTCGACCGTATCGGGCTCAACGAAACCAGATCTCGGGATTACGAGGTCCTACACCCTAATGTAGGGGCCTTAATAATTAGAATAGGGTTCCTTTGGGAGGGGTCTTTAAGGGTTACTATAAGGGATGTATAAGGCTACTATAATGTAGGGCCTTAATAATTAGAATACGGTTTTGGGGGTATATTATACTATATCTGTGATGAGGAACCCCAGACTAGTACTAGTATCGGTAATTATTTCAGGCCCCTATTAGAGCCCTAAACCTCTGAAGCAAAAGCCCGACACCCTAAAGCCCACAACCCCAAAGCCAAGGCCCGAGGTCCTGCCCTTCTCAAGATCGGAGCTAGGCTTGAAATCCGGCGCTCTAAACCTTTCTCAGCCCGGAAAACCCTTCAGCCGCTTAGGCCTTAAACCGCATTGCTCTTGAATCCGTTTCAGCCCCTTGCATCTTCCTTCAGCCCCTCTTCGGCCATATATGTATGTGTATATATATATATATATTTATTTATGTATTTATTTATATATTTGTTTATTTATTTATTTCTACCCTGTTCAGGCCAGGCCGGAAGCCCAGTTGATTGCCGCTCTAAGCCCTAAAACCCTACACATAAAACCTCTTCATCCCCATAGCTTCGGGGCAAAGCGGCGTCCTTTCTGTGTCAGAAGCGCAAGAGAGGCGGCAAGACAAGGAGTGCAACAGTGCAACGTCTGAAAGTCCGACATCCAGGCGTCCCGCTGTGCCGCCAAGCGGCGGGGCAAGCTTGGCTTCTTCAGCGATTTGAAGAAGCGCGGAGGTTCTCAGTGGCGTGACTTCATGTTCAGTTTCGTCCGCTTTTGCAGTGAACAACCCGTGCGCACCTCCGGACTCATGAAGTTCCAGATCATCAGGCTGTGGCTTGTGTGTGATGTTCTGGTTACGTAGACCCTCAAGGAGTGCAAGCCTGCTGATCAACGGCCGTTTCAATATTATCGTCCACCTGTAGGTAGGCTCGGCGAACGCAGTGCTTCCCATCGATTGTCCCGAAAGCTGCAAACGCTTCTTCAGCAGCACTCTGCCCAAAAGCCCCATCCCTAAACCCTAGACCCCTCTTCAAACCAACTACTTCAACCTCTCACCCGCCCAAGCCGTAGCCGACGCAAGTACGAAAAGAGGGACATGTTTGACATTGTGAAGTACGAGACCGCTGTCAAACTTGCGGCAAAGCTGAAAATAGGGTTTAAGGCCTTGCTCATGTCAGAGAACGAGTACGTGGACGCCGACAAACCTTTGCCAAACCTCAGGTCGTAAACGGAGCCTTACACCAGATCCCTGAAACCATACAGCACATGTTAGGGATTAGGGCTCATGGCCATGAACCCCGAACATCAACACCTGCTGCTAAGTTGCTATTGTTGGAGCTACATGTACTTAACTTGACAGTGGTTTTCTAGTTGTAGCTTTATATGATGCAAGCACGTCCTTTTTTGCTTGACGGTGGTATTCTACTTGTACTTTTACTCTCAAGCTACTACTAGGTTTCCTGAAAAACGTTTACAGCTAATGACTTGACTGATGACGACAACTATTCCTCCAGTTTGCTTCTCTTGTAATCCCCCAAACCATGGCTAACCAGTCATTCAGGCTTATGAAGCAAACCCTAAATGTAGCTTACTGCCAAACCCTGTAGGACTGGATAAAGCAGTAAGTATCATCCTTACACAATCAATACAAAGATTCGTTGTCTCGTCTCCTGAAGGTCCAAGAGCGTCTTGGCCTCCACCCGGGAGCCATACAATCGCTTCGTCTACCGGCCCCTGACCCCACCTCAAGGAGGCGTCGTGGACCTGGGGGGGGGCTTGGGTTTTTGGGCCTTGTGTAGAACCTCATTGGTGCCACTATGAAACAACATAGCAACCATTTGCCAACCCCTTAGAAAAACTTCTAAGGGGCGTAGGCTTGGGAGGGTTCAGACATGAAGGGCCTTCGGTTTGGGTTTGGCTGAGGTCTATCTGGTTCACAGGTTGGGGTGTAGAGTTAGGGCTTCGGTTTGGATGTCGGGTTTCATCCCCAAGCCAAGGCCGGCTCCAGCTAGTAACTTAGTAATATGTAAGCACGAAGACTCCCTGATTCCACGGATTCTTGAGAAGTTGGCATGCGAATCTCAACCCTGATCATCCCTGATCCCTACACCCCAACACAAATCAAGAACTTTCCCAGCCCCTACCTATATACATCTCAACACACTTCAAGAACGGAACCTAACCCCGACACCCCGTAAGCTGCAAAGCCAGGAAGCCTCGTCCCTAATGAAGCTGCCGAAGTAAGGATTTCTTCAAAGTCAAGAGCCTAAGCCAGGAAGCCTCATCCCCAACAAGTGCCCTAAACCCTTACACCCAACCCTGAAGCCCAACAACTCGAGAAGTGTGCCAAGTTAAGAAAAGTCTGAACCCTAGACCTTGAACCCTAAACCTTAGACCCTAATCCCTACATGGCCCTAAATCTCAAACTAAGGCTCCCTTAAAGGACCCCTCAAAGGAAGCCCTTATAGAACCCCTTGAAAGAAACCCTTATAGATCCCCTTAAAGTAAGGAGAATGCCAGGAAGTTGGAACATCCATATCCTCATGTCCTTAAGGTAAAGTAGAGGGAATCCCAGCACTAATCAACCTAAATCCATGTTCCAACTTGCTGGGGTTCATTATAAAGTAAGGGGAGAGCCAGGAAGCCTCATCACCACCAAGCGCCCTAAACCCTTAAACCCAAGCACCCCTTTAACTAACCCCTTCCTTATAGATCCCCTCCGGTATAGATTCGTTTTTAAGTAAGGAGCCTGAGCCAGGAAGCTTCATCACCATACCCCAAAACCCAACCCTGAACCCTAAAATCTGAACCCTAAGCCTTGAACCCTAAACCCTTAATCTTAAAGCCAGGATCCCTTAAGGTAAGGTGAATTGCCAGGAAGCCTCATTACCATGAGCCCGCTTTCTTCTCGAGAGCACCGGGCTCGCAAAGCGAGCCTGGTTAGCCGGCCAAAGGCTGGTTCGGAAGCGGGCGAGGGAGGGGGAGAGGAGGGGGGTTCGGGCTTCGGATTTCGGGTTGGGGGGTTTAGGCTGGTCCGGAAGGGGTTGGGGGGGGAAAGGAGGGGGGTTAGGATTTCGGAATTTTTTTACCAAAAATCCAGAGTGTTCGACTGGGCACAAAGGATTTACAGCATAGGGTTCTGCCGAGGTTTACTGGAGTTGACCGGCTTTGTCTGCGTTTTATAGATGTTTTGTTGTTGCATTTGTATGTGTGCTTGTTGCTCTTTGCAGCTGAGTAGCTAACGGCAGCTGAGTTCAGATTTTCATAAGGGTTGGGCTCCAGTAGTTCGAAGTCGGATGCTGAAGATGCAGATGCGCACAGAATCCGCTACGGACGAACCGCCTGCTGCACCTGCGCCCAATGCAAGCCGCAGGGCAAACTGCTGTCTGGTGACCCTGAACTTGACGTGGGGTTTAGGGTTTAGGGTTTAGGGGCTGCTTGAAGACAACACCGAAGCAGCCGGGTCCAACCCTTGCCCATGGCGGCTTCCAGACTCGTTGTCCCTTCCACAGAAAGAACGACAACACGGTGATGGTGGAACCAGCTAAAGATGACCCGCCAGCAGCCACCGCACGAAAGGCCGTAGCAAAGCTCGGCAATACCAACCTCTGCTGCAAGAAGCCATAACGAAGACACGCAGACGCCCGGCAGGAACTAGAAAAATCATGCTCATGCTGATGAGGGGTGATAATAGTATGAATGACAGTGATCGGATCAACGCGTTTGACGAAGTCACATTTGGATTAAAGCATATGATGTCGACAGCAACAGAAAACACAGCAGTAGCCATGGTGACTGTAAGGATCGTGATGACCGTAAGAGGAGCCGCAGTAGACGTGGCTTGCGAAAATCGGCCATACTGCTATCGTCATCATACATGCAAGACAATGTCCAAGCCGTAGAGAGAGCCTGAGAATTAAGGCTTGCGGGGATCTGGGGGTTTAGGGTTTGGCGGTTTAGCGTTTTACGGCTTTAGGTTTGCGGGTTTTGGGTTAAGCCGCTTTAAGCCGTCATTAAATTATGGTGTTGGGCTTCCGAGAAGGTATACTGCCAGCCACATTGCAGATAATATGCTCCTCTGACTCTTCTCATCGTTGCTGGCCCTAGCCGCAAGCGCTTGCCTGACATGTGTTACTATTTCCTGGATTATCCTTAAGACTTGTTTCTCATTCTTACCAAAAGTAAAAACACAAATCCTGAAACAGTAAATCCGAAACCGTGACATAGTTGATTTCTACTTGGGTCCTGAAAAGCCTAAGCATTAGGGGTTGGTCTGCTGGCGCCTTTGCGCAGGGACGATTAGGAATGCGCTTTCCTTACACGGGAGATCCCCAACTTCCTTATGGCTACTTTGGGGTGCAGGCAGTAGGTATTATGGAGCAGCTACCTTGTCCGACTTGCAGACTCAGGGCTTTTCAAGCGTTTTGGGGTTTGGTGGGCTTTCGGGCTTCTCGGTTATTCTGAAACACAACCACTGGGGAAGCAGGTCATTTCCTCTAACCCTAAAATCCAAAATGCCGAGACTCCTCAGCCCGTGAACCCTAAACGCCTCGCTTCTGACCTAAAGCCCTCCTACAAAACCCGAAGAGTATGAAGCCGCAAAGCCTCAAGTTCTTGTTTAGGGGCTCAAGAAGACAGAACAAGTAGGTTGTATGTCGGAAAACTAAGATATTCCCTAGTAGAGGACGTAAATTTTCCGAACCTTATCGACATACTAAATACTATGTGCCATGATCCTTCAGCGAACCCTAAATCCCCGCATCTCATGACGCAGTCCCTAAATGCACTGAACGTAGCCTCGAAGCCCAAAACTCTGAACCTTACATGAGCCCCAAAAGACCTCTGCATTGAAAGAAATTTTGCACAAAAAAAGCCCAGGTGGACAGGAACCACCAAGACAGTTCAAGACAAAACACAAACTGTAAAAGCACAACAAAAAGAAGAGACCCGCTTGCAGGAGCCGCAGCGCAGGGGAGAACCCCGGAAAAAAGACGCGGAGCCGGACATTGGGATTCTCAACACTCTGAGCATTGTTTCAGGGGGGTTCAATCAAGGCTTCATGTGGGTACTGCAGGCTTAATATGGTTCCATGAGGGCTTACCAGAGGTCTACACATGAGGTTTAAAAAGGGAGGGTTTCGATGTGTGTGTGTGTGTGCGTGTGTGTGTGTGTCTGTGTGTGTGTGTGTGTCTGTGTGTGTGTCTGTGTGTGTGTGTGTGTCTGTGTGTGTGTCTGTGTGTGTGTGTGTCTGTGTGTGTGTCTGTGTGTCTGTGTGTGTGTGTGTGTCTGTGTGTGTCTGTGTGTGTGTGTGTGTGTGTGTCTGTGTGTGTGTGTGTGTGTCTGTGTGTGTGTCTGTGTGTGTGTCTGTGTGTGTGTCTGTGTGTGTGTGTGTCTGTGTGTGTGTGTGTGTCTGTGTGTGTGTGTGTGTCTGTGCGTGTGTGTGTGTGTGTCTGTGTGTGTGTGTGTGTGTGTCTGTGTCTGTGTCTGTGTCTGTGTCTGTGTCTGTGTGTGTGTGTGTGTTTTCTGTTTGGTGCTTTACGCGGTTGTATAGTTATTCTTTTGTCAGGCTGTTTTATCGTGGTTCTACGGAATTTTGTCAAGGATCGTCATAGCAGATTAGCTTGGGCATCACATAGAGACCTTTATCATCGGAAACGATAACAGGAGACTCTATCACTGGTCGGGAACCTAGTCTCGGATGCGGGTTTCCGAAAACTAGGGGTACCCTATTTTGGGGTCCTTATAATAAGGATCCTGCTGATTAGGGTACCATATTAGGATCCCCCATTTTCGGAAGCTCCCATATCACGCTCTGTTGAAGCAGTCTTTTTGAAGAGTTTTGCATGGTCTCAAGGCCTCACAAGGACAAGGTTGAACCGGCACTTAGAGAATGCCCCCGAACCTGTCACGAGCTACCTGTTGGCAGGCTCCATGCCTCGGAAATTCATAAGGGAGTTTCCGCAAATTAGGTGCCTTAGTTTGGCATCCTTATTAATAAGGATCCTACTATTTAGGGTCCTATATTTGGGTCCCCTATTTGCGGAAACTCCCATAAGGGTTTAGCATGGTGTAGGGCTAATCCCTTCCCCCTAATATTAAACGCCTCCCCCCCCCCCTAATATAAAAACTGGAATTCGGAGGTTTAATTTTTATATTAGGGGGGGTTTCGGGTCCGGCGGGTATGAGTCGGACTGACAGGAATAATGAGGCAGCCAGACAGTCAGACAGTCCCTGAAGCCCTCAACCCTAAAGCTTAATTACAGTCAGACAGTCAGACAAGTCAACAGCGAGCAATTCCTGCGCAGCCGTTCCGGCTGTAGACAGACCAGAGCCCTCGAGCCCCAAACCCTAAATGCCTGAGCCCTAAACTTTAAGCCCTAAAGCCCTGAGCCCTAAAGCTTTAGCCCTGAGCCCTAAACCCTTAAACCCTAAAGCTCTCGTGTCTCTTTAATTAGTACTGCTGTAATTAATCTTTGCCTCTATAATTAAAGCCCTGAGCCCTAAACCCTTAAACCCTAAAGCTCTGGTGTCTTTAGTACTACGGTAGTCTTCCTTCAATTAAAACACATACAGATCTGCCACCCCCCCTAATGTTGCCCCCTTTAAATTGAATGTGGGGCCCGAGCCCGCGAAATTCCGGGGGCCGGCAGTTTTTATATTGGGGGGGGGTTTAATGTTAGGGGGAAGCGATTAGGGTTCCGGGAGGTTTATCGTGAATACCCCAATCCAGGTAATGCATAAACGCCGGTTTCGGGTAAACCACAGGTGCCATGAAGCTGCTGTGTCTTCTTGAGGCAATCTCGCTGCAAACGTTCATGAACACCCAAGCCCGAACCAACACACACTAAGAACCAAACCGGAAACTGGAAGTCCAAAACCCTAAATGCCCTTTCGGATCCCGACCCTGAATGACACCCTTTACAGGATCCCTAATATCCTTTCAAGCAGCAAAAGCTTTAAATCACGAGGAGAAGGCCTCCGAGAGCAAGGGGGCGGCAAAGACGGCGACGCCTGTGGCGCTTCACACCGGCGGTCTGCATGGCACGTTTTCGACGCGGGGGAGGGGGCCGGGAGTTAGGGCTGAGAGTTTAGGGTTCACTGGTGGGCTTAGATCGGGGCCTGGGCCTTCGGCTCTTATCATGGTACAAGTTTGGAGTTGGGTTCAGGTTGCAGTCACAGTATTCTCGCCCTGCGGCTCGCTTAATCGCCCTGCTCAAACGGCCGGAGATGGAAGAGTCGATGTCCAGCTGATGCTGGTGATGCTCGTCCTGCAGTTCACAGCCCTGCTGTGGCTTCAAACAAGGAAGAGTGAGTTTTAACATTAGTTCCAGCTAGTGCTGGTTCGCTGACTCCGTTCAGTCGGCCGTCGCTTCTCTTTGCCAGAGTTTGCACAACTTGGGTAGGTAAACCCTAAGCCCCTAAACCCCTAAACCCCTAGACCCAAAGCCCAAAAAACCCTAAAAGTAAACCCTACACACCAAGCCCGGGTCTGAGAGCTTGCATTTGGAATTTCGTTTAGCTCGGGTATCGGGGAAGGCAACCTTTTCTCTCTTTCAGACATGTTGTTTAGCTGTTAGTTAAGCCTTGTCGGGGGTCAGTTTACGTGGAGCCTCGGGGTGCCGATGGCCTAGATGTAGCCATGATATATATATATATATATGTATATACATACATGTATATACAGCTGTACGTACCTATTTCAGGACTTAGATCAGAACCCCGAGACCGGGATAGCTACACCTGTGCATTGGATAGCCGTTTGGGTGTTGACTGGCTTTGTGGCTGGGTTCAGAGTTTAGGAATTGCCGGGGGCTGGGATGGGAGTTGATCCGAAGTGGTCGTTGGGGGTTGCGGTTTCATGTGCGTTTTTGTTTCTGAGTGTAAAATTGCTCGATTCAGCGGTTGCAGATTTTGGGTTTTGACCTTGGAGGGGGTCACTTTCCAAGTGGCATTGCATACTTGTGGCATCGCAGATTTTTTGCTTTTGGTTCAGGTTTTGTGTGCAGATAGCATGTCCCGCTTGGATGCAAGCAAATGGTTCCGTTTCGTTTGCAACAGTTGCCGTGGCAGGAAGCGCCTACTGGTTGCAGTGGCCCTAGGACAGCTTACACAGAGTGTGAACGTGTGTGTTTGAGGTTGTTTGATGTTGTGGGGACAGCATAGAAGCCTGAATATGTGCCGATACCATACCTTAGGGCCCCTGTTCCTTATTATAACTAAGCTCTGAATATGCCCCAAGACCCTCTTCGAAGTACTATAAAAGGCCGCAAGCTGCCGCCATTACTTGTGTTGGGGGTGTGGGGTCGGTGACTTCGTGTCTTTGCTCGGGTAGTGAAAAGGTACGAGGATCAGTCCGCACCCTCCAACCCTTTAGGGTTGGTTTTGCGGTAGAGTTGGGGTTTATTCAGGGTTTACAGCAAGAGGTTCAGGGGTTAGGGTTTACTTAGGGTTTGGAGTTTAGGGCTTAGAGTTCAGAGGTTTCGGATTGGGGTTATCGGTGAACCATCAGTGCCACACAGTCAGTCCATTTCATGGAATAGCAATATATGACGGGTGAGGATCGAAATCGCAACCTTGGGATGATCAGACCTACCCGCTGCCAACTGCGCTAGCGTCGCTGTAGATAGGCCTTTTGCAGGAGGGACCCACAGACTACATCCTTTGCTTCATCTCTTCAAAACTGTCAAGTATGTTGACTTAAACGCGGACCCTCAGCAACTCCTCAAACCCCTATACAAATCCGAAGCCTGCCCCAACCCAAAATGCTGAAGCCGAACCCCCCTGAAGCTTGAGATATGCTTGAGGCGGGGCCTTTCCCGAGCACGAGGGAATCCGATGCTGCCGCCGCAGTCGGCACGCGGAGCGCACTCTCGTGGGCCCAGGCCTTTAAACTACTATAGCACCCTTACAGATCCCTTATAGTAACCCTTATAGACCCCTTATAGATCCCTTATAGTAACCCTTATAGAACCCTGTAAAGTAACCCCAAAGGCCCAAGGTTCCTACATTAGGGCCTCCACTTTTTGCCTCAAAACTTTTGGCTTTGACAGAGTTGGGATTTAGGGCTTCTGGCGATCTCCCGGTTGTAAGTTGAGGATTTAATTGGGATAACACCCCCCCAAAAGTAAACATTGCAAGAGCAATGTGTACATAAAGATATACTATAATATTATATATGAGTGTAAACATGTATGTAGATAAGCACGGACGAAAGCCTAAAGCACAAAACTACACATCGATATTATCTTGTTCTCCCAGCCCCTCCTGGCAAGGCCTCAGGGATCCGGCCGTGGCCTCCCAGCCGTCAGAGCGCCAAAGGCTGGTGCCTCAAAAGCGGCTTCAAAAGGGTTTCTGCAGGATTCTATAGGGTTGGGGATATAGGGTTCAGGGTTCTATTGTTGGCTTGTTGGGGATGAGGGTTAAGGGTTCTAGGGTTTAGGATTCTAAGGGTTGAGGGTAAGGGTTCTACTAGGATTCTAGGGTTGGGGATATAGGGTTTAGGGGTTTTTGGGTTGAGGGTTTCGCGCTCCATGTGGGTTTGCACCGGTTTCTAAAGTGATTCTATAGGGTTCGGGGTTTACGGTTCTAGGGTTCTGGGGTAGACTATACTACATGGGACGTAGGAGGTTCATGAGGGTTTAGGGTTGAGGGTTTCTCAGGTTCTGCAGATCCGCCATCAGTGGGTCTTGGCAACAGGGCTTCGAGGATTTCGTGTTGCAGGGCCAGGGTTGAAAAAGGCGCAGAAAGATCAACTTGCTACTTCTATGCAGCGCTTACACCTGTTGGTCAGGGGAGTTCCTGGTGTTGAGCTCTGATTCCGTAGGATCTTGGGGAATCGCATAAGGAAAGATCCGCCCTCTACGAAGCCATGATTCGGGGATCCTCATGTTGCTGTCCTCTCTAGAGAAGGGTTTAGGGTTCTGCTTTCCCGGAACCCTAAACGCTAAAGCCGCAAGCCAAAAGACCCGTAAACCCGAAGCCTTAAATCCTCAATCCCTAAACCCTGTAAACCCTAAACCTCTAAACCCTGAACCCGAAATCCTCAATCCCTAAACCTTAAACCGCATTGTGGAAGGTTGGACCGCCAAACACAGGCACGTCCAAGCCGCGCGGCGCTCGGAGTGCATCTCAAGAGCTTGGAGTTTTGGCATCTTAGTTTTTGAATACCCAGGGTTTTAGAGTTCATAGGGTTTGTGGTTTATCGTTTTATCAATACCCAGAGTTATAGGGTTTATAAGGTTTAAGAATCCTAAACCCCCGGACCGTGAAGGCTTTACGGCCAGGGTTTAGGATGCGCTAAGCCGTATATCCAACCGTGTACGCAGTTGTTTTGGTTCGTACAGTCCAGTAGTTTGGTATTGGTCTCTGCAAGTGGCGGGGAAGGGGTTGCCTGGAACTGTGTAAACCCTAAATCCTAAACCCAAACCCTTATAAACCCTAAACCCTAAATGTAAAGTTCACGGTTGCATCAGCTGGCAGAAACAAGGAAGCCCTAAACCTATAGAAACCTTAAAGGACCCCTTAAAGGGGCCCTTAAAGGATCCTTTTAAGGGAACCCTGGAGGAACCTGCACCCCCTAAGCTTCAGTAGGATCTTGAGCTGCGAAGCTCGTCCTGAAGGGCCCGGTCAGATTACTGGGCCTTATCATCATAATATTGGAGTTTCCGAAAACTAGGGGTACCTTGTTTGGGGTCCTTTTAATAAGGATCCTACCATTTAGGCTACGATAGTAGGGTCCCGTGTTTTCGGAAACCCAAATTAAATATGGAAGCCTTGCCTGAACCTACCAAAACCCTCCTTTTTTGTAGGGTCCCTATAAATTCCACAAGAGGGTTTATTCTAAGAACCTACGCAAAAGTAGGGTTTGGTAGGTTGGGGTACTCATCACCAGTACTACTTGGGGTTCCTTCTGTGAATCATGGTATAGTGGGCCCCAGAACACGATTCTAATTACTAAGGCCCCCACAACAACGACCTCGACCTACTGTTGCCTTTGGCTGTCCCGTCATGAAGTTTCCCTAAACCCTAAAGCCTTAAAGACGTGAAACGTCAAAGCTTGAGTAAGAAGTCAACCTCAAATCGAACTGAGGTTTGGGGGTTTGTTGGGAGCTTTGGTTTCAAGTCTTTGGATTTCGGGAAGGGGATTGGTGCGTGTAGAACCAGAGAAGCTTGTGGGAGAACGTGGCAGACGTTGTTTGAATTTTCTTCAGGTCGGAGGCGTCTCAGAAATCGGAGCAGGTTGATCCGGCTTGAGAAAATTCAAGATTTCAGCGTTTCTGTGCTAGGAATATAGAATGTCAGAATCAAGAACAGGCCGC